TCATTATCACTCTTGTTTACATAAACCTTGTTTTAATATTTGATCAAAGGGTAATAACAAGAAAGACACAACATATTTATTTTTTATGCATAACCACACAACTTAGGTGACTTTGCTAGAAAGATTTACTTTAATAATTCCAAAGAAAATAATCCTACTTAATCCCATTTTATATGATATTATCTATTCTAAGCCAAGAAATGCTATGCATAACATAATGAAGCACCTAAAAATATTAAAGTTGGTTTTAAACACATATCACCTTCACACTCTGTTTTCATAGCCATAAAATGTAATGTCTTCCCTAAACTTAAATTTCATATTGTTCCGAATGAGAAAGTAAAGAATGAAAAGGGTTACCAATACTTCCTTTTTGACAAAGCGGGAGTGAGTTGTTGGTTTTCAATTGGTTATCTATTTGTATGTTTCATCCCTACACAACTCAATTAAACGAATAAGTGCAATTTTTTTCATGGATTGCCTCTCTATCAGCGCTTAGTTATAGTTATTAGCTTAACTTTTTTATTTTGCAAAGATGGAGTATGAGGGATATATCCCTCTTGCTAATTGATTCTGCATTCCTATAATGCTTCGACGCTGTTTATTTACCGTGAATGTTCCCTTCTCAACATGAGTAATCTCTACTACTCCATAAGAAAACACCTTAAAAACTATGAATGGTCCTAGCCACCATGATTTAAGCTTACTAGGAAACAAGCAAAGCCATGAATTGAAAAGGAATACATGTCGACAAGGGAAAAACTCCTTATGTACAATCTGCTTGCCATAACATGTCTGGGTTCTTTCCTTGTATATTTTGGCATTCTCATATGATTCATTGTGAAATTCATTCATCTTATTAATTTGCAGGATTTTTTTTCACCTGCAGCCTGTAGACACATGTTTAGCTGTTTCATTGTCTAATGTGTTTTGTGATCTCATTCAACAGCAAGATAACATGCTTTTTCAAATACTGAATGATAAGAGGACATTTCCAGTGATGTTTTGAATGCTGTTCTGTACGATAAGCCCACAATTCAATGGGCTCCGCATCTTGATGTAACCCATAGCCAACTGCATATCTCGTCATGTCCTCGATTGGAATATTGTAATCTTCGGGAAATAAACAGCATAGCAAGAAACATGACTTGGTGCCCGCTTGGAGAATCACGGCTTTTCATCCATAAACAAAATCCTGAAGTGTTCGGTAAATCACAACCCAGGTATTTGTAGCTTTGAAACAAATTACAGTCTCAAATTAAAAAAACAATTAAGAGAAAGGATCTGTGACGTGGAGATAAGGTAGTCCGATGAGCCAATAGATTGTCGCCACTTGTTCAACCATATCTCCACATTACAACCAATAGATTGTCTCTCAAGTGCGAAATGAAAGAGCTGTACCGAATTTTTCATTGCAATCCTCCCTTTTTGATCGGCTACTCCCTTGACCTCAAAAACTGCAGGGAAGACTAAACTAATCTGCCAAAAATCTTAAATGGTTTTAAATTATTTCTTTTACTTTCCCTCAATTTTCTTGGTAAATAAGAGTAGCTAAATTTATTCCCTGCCAAAAACATCAAGAGTCCAAGTAGAATAAAAGAATAGATTATTACTTCGCAAAAATAACTAGTCAGCACCCACAGAAACCGAGTTAATAAGAGAAAAGGACTGTTGGCTAGAAATCAACCAAGAACTTTCTATTTGGTTTTCAAGAAAATGTAAAGAAACAAGTAGCGCAATCCTCTTTCTCCTCCAAGAAAAGAAAGAAACAGATAGAAAGTCAACCATGGCTCCTTTTTCAATGTTCGTGAAAACATAGAAACGTAAAAGAGGAGTTTTTTAGAACCCAGCTAAGTCTATAGCTTTTATATGATGGAATTTTTTGTTAATTAAGATAATATAACAGTTGATTCAAACTCACTTGGATCGAGTGTATGTCTCAAGTCTAATGTGATTGAATCTAGACAATACACCTGAATTTATTTCTTACTTTTAATGAGTTCTCAGGAACCCAACACTCCATTTAAAAATTTTTCAAAATCCCACACAGATTCCTCAATATATCATATTGATTCAAACTCAAAATATCACAGGATAAGATTATTTTATAAGTGCATTTATTATGTAGGGTTGTGGATGCTTTTTTTTACTCACATTTTATTTTATTTTATGATATAATAATCAAATGCTTTAAAAGTAAACTAGAAATCAAATGAAAAAAAATGGTTATGTAGGTTATATTTGGTTAGTGTTCAAGGGACGAGAGATATAAATATAATTGATTAAAAAAATAAAAAATAAAAAATATAAATATATCTTTGTGATAATTCAGGAATAAATTTTAGTTAAATTCTATTTGATTAAAAAATTAATTAAGTAAATAAATATACAAATTAATTCAAGTTTTTTTTAACTTTTTAATCAAGAAAAAATTATATCGTAAGTTAAAATTTAAAATTTTTATTTTTTTATTAAAGTAAAGTTTTGACTCAATTTTATAACAAATCTTGATTTAAGTTAAAATTTAGATTATATTTGGAATGAGTTTTGACTAGAATTAACTTTTGATTTAAATCAAAGCTTATTCAAAGTCAAGTCAAAATTTTGATTTAATTAAAAAGTTAAAATTTTTAACTATAACTTATATTACATTCAATTTAAAAAAAAAAAACAAGTTGGATTTGAGATATTTTTTTCAAACATATTTCTAAATTAAAGTCATTTTAACTCTTTTTTGTCACAAGTTATCAATGAAAAATTAACTTTTGAAATATATTTGAAAGTCAAAACTCATAATTGAAAAAATATGCCAAACATATTCTTATTTCTTGCAAATATATACTTATGAATTTTTTTATTTAAAAAACAAATTAAATTAATTTATAAATGTCATACCAAATAGAACCTTAGTTTATGAATTTGCAGCAGCTAAGTATCTCATAGTATTTGAACGAGGAACTATACTTCTGACTTGATTGGGGTTGACGTTGCTCATATTTTTTGGACTAATTAACAAACTTTTACATGTATTCTTCTAGCTGCCGTTTGAGCTCTGAGATGCAGCAACCAGGCTTTGCATCAAGTTATATATATGATTGATCACTTAAAGCTTTGTGTTTTGGCATCAATGTTACAGATATATTCAAGAACACCTAACCCTGGACCTGCATTCATTGAGAAATACAAAGCTTATTTGGCAAGCTTTGGGTATGATCCAAGCAAAATTAAGGACACCCCACAAGATTGTGAAGTCATGTCCAACAGTAAGCTTGCCGCCATGATGTCCATGTCCGGGATGCAAAAGGCACTTACAAATGAATTTCCTGATCTAGAATTAAGGAGCTCTGTCCAATTTAATCCCTTCACAAGCGTGTTTGATACTTTGAAGAAGCTCCTGGAGCTTTATTTCAAGTAGAAAAATGAAGTTTGTGTACATTATAACCCTGCTTCTGTACTACACGTAGAGCAACAGATACATAACTCCATGAGACACAGCTTGTTCCTCACTTCCTCACTTCCTCTTTGCTATGCGCGCATGATGATTCACAAGGCTTTTTTTCTTTTTGGGTGGAGAAGGTGCTTAAATGGAGGCATCATCCTGTTAGAGGCCTCTTGCTTTGGGTTCCTATTTTGGTTTAATTTTAGGCCTCTTGACTGATGATGTTGGATTTAGCCTTTTTTCAACAATACAATTGTGTCTATTAAATAAAATATGATTTATTTTTTAAATAAAATAATACAATATTAAGTATAAAAAATGAACTCTTTGCTTTTTAAAACTCTATTATTTTATTTTTCCTCAATTAATCTTTTATTCTTCTCGCCATTGCTTTGAGATAATTACGTTTATAAATTTAGTTTGCTGTATATTCTTGTTTGCGTTATAAAAAATAAAAGATTGAAAAGACCTAAGAAAAAATATTACAATCAATTGCAAGCACTTGAAGGCAGACAATAATTTTTTCAAGGCTAGAGGATTTATCCTTTACTCAATTTACATCATGAAATTTTATATCCTGTCAATAAATTTGTAAGTTGATTTTTTATATATATTCATTCACATGTATTTATACATCCATGTAAAAACCATATTATTGTACAGTAACACATACACACTAATTAACCAAGGGACTTGATATATATAAAAGCACGAACTTCAAAAATAAAAGTTATTTTTTGTTTTTCTCAAAAAATTAAACTTTTTTAAAACAAAAACATTTAAATATATGCACACACTCGTAGAATGAGTATTATAATTTTAAGAGATATAGTTAAATTAGTCAAATTTTAGATTTATTTTTTAAAAATAATTGTTTGGAGTCTTATAAATCTCAGAATTATTAAAAATTTATATAGTTGTTAATTTTAGAGTTTATGAAATTCTTCAAAATATACACAAGTTAATCCGGACATTCACATTAAAAAATTATTATAAGTGCATGTGTTTGTAAAATCATATATAGTGTTTCACAACATTTATTCAAGATCTTAAGCATAATTACTAGGCCTATTTCAAAACCACATAAAGAATCGTAATAGAAACAGAACATCAAAATCACAGAGAAAACATGGTGATGGGGCAAGTACACAAGTCGTAAAGCCATTAGTTTGAGAAGGAAGGAGAAAGAAAATCCACACATTAAACAATAAGCACACACAAAGCCATTATTTCTTGAAGGTTCACACAGCAGACACATAGATAAGTCAATATTGTTCTTTTGGGAGTTCTATAAAATTACAATACAAAGCCATATTGTATGCCATTGCCAATAAAACAGTGGAAATCACTTCCTCATATTAAAAAACATTCACAGCACCACAGCTCAAAGACATGAATCTCCGTTAAATCACCAAAAGTCGAGGTGATCATGTAATAGGTAACCAACCAACCTGATGCAAACATGAAGAACAACGACCATCAAGGCATATTGCATATGATGATTTAATTCAACCATTTAAAGTTGAAGGAAAAGGAGAGAAGATAAATAATTGCCATATTACCTTCAAGAATTAATTACTAGCTTGTTTTTCAAATTCCAATGCCAGACTTATTATCTGACTTAATCATCATGACCACCTCCATCCTCGTCTTCTTCCTCTTCCTCTTCCTCTTACACCTCCCATTACTCTGCCTCTTCATCTTCATCTTCATCTTCATCTTCATCTTCATCTTCATCTTCATCTTCATCTTCATCTTCATCTTCATCTTCATCTTCATCTTCATCTTCATCTTCATCTTCATCTTCATCTTCATCTTCATCTTCATCTTCATCTTCATCTTCATCTTCCTCTTCCAGCTCCCATTCCTCTGCCTCTTCATCTTCATCTTCATCTTCATCTTCCCATTCCTCTTCCTCTCCCCACCCATTATTTCGGGTCCACATTCTACAAGTGGTGGTTGGCACGAGGGAACCAGTTCTTGAATCCTCAGGTACTTGAGATACCTGCAAAACCGATTCAAGCATGGCATACACACTCTAACTTGTAAGTCTTATTATTGAGAGAAGAAAAAAACACTAAAAGAGAGGCAAGAAACCAAGTCAAATAAGCAGCACCTCTGATTGAGCACTCATTGAACCATTTGTTCTAATAGCAAATTTTGTGGTCAGCTTTGGACATTCATACACCACCAACTTCCCCAAACGAGGGAATAAGAAATCATAACACCCAAGACTGAAGCAGACAATGCTTGGTAATTCTTTTAGAGACAACTTTTGCAGATAAGGGAGCACCATCTTCTTCTCAACATTAAAAGGCGAAGCATGATCATCCTGCCCAAATACTCCCACTAGTTGAGAGGATTCACTTACTTTAAGTATTTGGAGCTTTGGGAGACCTGAAGTCATGGCTACTAGGAAGAGACTCTTCAACCTGTTGCATCTTCTGATTTCAAGTCGACACAAATTGGGGAAGCATAAAGATTGGAGATCACTTCCTGACAATATTTGATTCTTTTCATCATCATTATTCTTAGCAATTATTTGTTCCAAATCCTTACAAGTAGATATCTTTAGAACTTTCAGTTGAACTAAACTAGCAATCATGATGTCTGTAAATACATATCTCAGTCTCTTACAGTTCCTCACCACCAAAATAGTCAAATTGCTTAGCGGGAGACCTTTCCATATACAGCTCATGTTAGGTTCATACACAAAGTACAAATATAATTTTTCCAAACTTGTTAACCCCTGCATCAAAAGAAATTAAGGGTACAATTTGTTAGATATAATTCCTGTTAATTTATATGCACTTTGGGACTATGATTTTATATTAGTTAAATTAAAAGCAATTAAGAAAAAATTATACTTATTAACTCAAAAAATAGTTTTTTTATAATTAATTTATAATAAGAAAAAATTACGACATTAACCAAAAAAAAAGTATAAATGAAAATAATTTTAAACTTACATATTAGTAAAACTTCTTGTATGTGTATATAAAATAAAAATGTTTTATTGTTGATAATTTATAAAAAAAAATTCATATGAAAAGGTGAAAAAATTGTAAAGAAAAAACATGAAAAAATATAAAAATATATGTTTTCAAACTCTATACAAATTTGTTGCTTTTGAAGTTCTTTTAATGAGAAAGTTTCAATTTTTACTTCTTGACTCTAATTGTTAAGAAAATTGGATTAAAAAACCATTTTTTATTAATTTTTTGAACCATCTGTCATAAGTTCCAGCAGTGAAACAAAAAACTCAATATTCTCAGATGAAGCTTTATCGTCCTGTCCAAATACTTTCCATTAATTGGCGAAAGAGCCTCAATTTCAATCCTTTTAAATTCAATGGATGGCTAAAGGATTTGCTAGCATTTATCCATTACTTCAGTCTTAGAAATCTAAAGGAAGAAATAAGAAATTATCACAATGTATTGAATTTGACAATTTAAATTTAAAAGGAAAAAATCAGGGGAGAAATATAAAGGACGTACTTGCAGTTGTGCCAACGAATTATCCGATTCTTCGTAGCCTTGAATTGTTAACACTTGCAAAGATGGCAATTGGGCAGTAAAACTCTTTGGACCAAAAACGCTGCAACTTGAAAGGGACAATTTTGATAGCTGAGGGAAGTTGATGATGCCATCTCTAGTGAGTGCATCTCCTTCTTCACTGTAAAATATTTGCTTTAAATTATAAGCAAAAGAAATCATCATATGTTCCAGGTTCAGAAGACTTGGAGACACGGAGACAGGGAAGACACGTTCCAGTTTATCACATTCACCTATGGAGAGAGTTTGTAATTCTGGGAAGCGAAGAGACTCTGGAATTATTTCCCTGTCACCACCATCCTTTTCTCTGATAAGACGCTTCAATTCATGGCATTGTTTTACCTGTAGTGTTTCCAGATGAATAAGACTTCGAGCGAGGGACGGTGTGAAGATAAATGTCAGTTTGTTAAGAGACAACAACTCCAGATAAAAAAGACTTTGGAGGCTGACATGTCTGGTGGGCCCCTTCCATATACATTTGAGCTTAGGTAAATCTGACAACCGTAACGTTGTTAAAGATGACAGTAGCGGCAGCTCCTTCTCCTCGTTAATTCCTCCATCAGCCTCACCCAATTCAAATACCTCTTCCAATGATTTGCAGTCATAAGTTTTCACTCTCCTTGGATTTTTCAAAGCTTGCCGCCATTTTGCTGGAAACAGAGTGCGAATATCCCCACATTCATGCACTTTGACATGTTCTAATCTTTGTAAGAAGTCCTTTGGCGACCCATGGCCAGGGGAGGTCATCTGATAAGAGGACAATACTATATTTTCTAAACCCTCCACTCTCCAAAAACTAATTTGAGACACAGTAGGAAACAACTGCTCAAATGTCTTTGCATTTAAGGATGTGGCGCTGATAGCACCCAAATATAATCTTGTCGAGGTTGGGTATTCTTTATCGAGTTCTGAATACCAATCCCCTAACACTATATCATATTTGAGCAACCTGGGAAAAACAAAATCTCTGGGAATGCATTCAACCTTCGGTATCTTCAATGATAATACAGCTAAATGAGACAGCGAACTTAGTTCTGTTAGGCTTGCATTGATTCCTTCTGCGCTGTCACATCCAACAACATCCCATCCCTTGAAGCTCTCATCCCCGATCAGCAGTTCTTCTAACTTCTTCAACCTTGCAATCAAATTCACAGGAATCCTTCGTAGCAATTCACAACCTGTAACATCCAACAACCTTAACTCCTTGAGCTCCCCAATTTCATCAGGTAATTCTTCAATGGAGTCGCACCACATGAAAACAAGAATCTTAAGTCTTTGCAGCTTTCTCAACCAATTGAGGTCCTTGCATTCACACCTTCTCAACAGCAACGACTGAAGGTTCGTTGAGAGTTCAAGTGATTGCAACGACAAACACCCTCCATGTAGAGACAAAACTTCTATTGCTTTCATCCCTTCAAAAAACCTCTCTGGAACATTCAAATCATCATCCAGTTCTAATAAAAGAACTTTGAGCTGTGGACACACCAATTCTTCAGGAAGTTCTGCTAGTTCATTGCCCATTAACGAAACTACTGTACAACCTTCAAAGCTTTTATTGCTCATTGGCCACTCCTTCAACCCAAAGCCAGCCTTTACCATGAATCCGTATTTTTCAGATGATGCTATCTGAATAGCAACATCACGAACCAAGTCATGCATTTTCACATATTCTTCACTTCTAGTTCCTAACAGCATACAACAATCTTTGAGGGTTTTTATCTCCACATAAACTCGTTCCCTTGCATCTTCAATGGACTCCGCATCTTGATGTAACCCGTAGCCAACTGCATATCTCGTCAAGTCCTCAATTGGAATGTTGTAATCTTCTGGAAATAAACAGCATAGCAAGAAACATAATTTGGTTTTCTCGTGCTTCAAATAATCATAACTCAACTTAAGACATGCATATGCATTGTTTTCTTCGTCAATTTGTTCCATGTGCTGAAATTGAGAGTTTTTGAGCTCTTTAGACGCTACTTCCCACTCAACAGCAGATTTATCTCTTAAAGCCCTTCCCACTGTCACAAGTGCTATAGGCAATCCTTTACATTCTCTCGCAACCTTCTTTGCCACTGTGTTCAAGGTAGAGTCCTCATCATGTAAACCTGCATTGATTTTGAATAAAGCCCATGCTTCATTTTCAGATAAGAGACTTAACAATACTTTTTGCTGGCACTCCATATAAGAACATATATCCTTATGACGTGTTGTTAGAAGAATTTTACAACCCCCGTGAGCATCACCAAATGGGATCCCTATCTCTTCCAGGTTAATAACTCTCCAGACATCATCTACAATTATAAGAATCTTCTTTCCCTGCAGTCTCTGCCATAATCGATCTGCTCTCCCTTTTTTACTTTTCTCGTCAAAACGCAGACCTAAACTATCTGCCATTTGATCCTGAATGTCAGTGACATTTGGCTTCTGGGACACCGTGGCTATCAAAACTTCATCAAAAAGACGCAACTCTTTTGCTCTCCTGCCTACTTCTTTCACCAGGGTGGTTTTACCAACCCCTCCCATGCCGTACAGTCCGATCATATTAACACTGTCATCTTTGAGAGCTTTCATAATTTGTTCAAAAGCTTCTTTTGATGATTCTGAGGGTGTGAATCCCTTTGATGGAAGAAATTCTATGTCTTGAAGAGGTGCTTTGTGGGACACTGTTGGAAACTTTTTGCTACTTTCTTCAAGGTTTCTCAAAGTCTCCGTCTTCTTTGCCAGTGCCTTGCTTAACTTGAATTGTCGTATCCAATTTGGACACCAAGTAAAGCATTTGTCATTTTTTCCCGTTTCATTTTCCAAAGGATTCACACCTTTAATTTCGTTGTTTGCATCCTCCAGCCATTTGTTGACATCTTTCTCAATTTCTTCAGCATTCCTTTCAGCAACTTCGACAGCCTTTTGCAAACGATCTAGTGTCAAAGCCAGGTTCTTCTTTTGTTCATTGAATTCTTGAACAAAATTGTTGAAACAGAACATGTAACGGAACTGCCTTTTTGTTGGTTCCACCAAGAGTTCTGCTATCTTAGATACAACGAATTCACCAACACTTTCGATAGCCATTTTCCACCAGTCTGAAAATCAGAGAAATAAGGATACCGACTATCAGAGTGAGACATTGCAAGTAAAATAGGCATTGAGAGAATGAGAATAGGAATTTTATTACCTTAATTTGGGAAAATATGTGCGTAAGGCAATAAAATAGCGGGAGGAACAAAAGGAGAAGGCCTTCAGCTCTGTATGGAATCCAGCTTCAAAAGCAACAAGGCAAGGAATAAGTATACCAATGAGCAATTAATTCCTTGTCCCCTCATCTTTAATATCTTTAAATTAATTTGTTGTTAATTTTAAATTGTCACAATGTTGTTAATAAATTGCCATCAGTATTGTCAATAAAAAAACTCTATACATCAAAAGTTATAAGTTATAGTTACACGCTAAAATTATGAATTCTAGCAAATGAATGTCAAAAAAGCATATTACACTACCTAAAGGTTTTGAATTTAAATATTTTTTTCAAAAAAGGATGCAAGCTGTAAAAATTCATTTATGGACTTTAACCAGATTAAGAAGTTAAAATATTCATTTTAATGAGATAATTAAAAAATAATTTTATTAAAAATATTGATGTCCCTTATATTTATAAAAAGTTTAGTTGAAGTTGAGTCATTTTTTGAGTGTTATATATAGATGGTATATTTTTAATAAAAAATGATATATCTTTACTCCAACCAGGAAAGATTTGGTTCACCAAGAATTTTTTTATAAAAGATATGAGTTAAATAATCTATATATTAGAAATAAAGATATATCTAAAAAGTTGCTTGGTTATCCCAATTCACACACACACTCACAAAATATTGAAATGATTTAGCATGAAAGAATATTCACACACACACAAAATGTTGAAATGATTTAGAATGAAAAATTTTAAATGAGGATACTTACCTATTTTACATAAGATTGGTCTCTCCAAAGATATATACCCTAAAACATTTCAACATTTATCATGAAAGAATTTAAATGGGGACACTCATCTATTTCACATAGGATTGGTCTCTCCAAAGATATACACCCTAAAACATAAATTAAAAGAGAGGATGAAAAGGATTCTCTATGCTTCGACTATAAGATCCATCATATATGAAATGTTATGTACAAGATCAAATTTATGTTATATTTTAATCATAACAAGTAAATATCAATCTAATTCAAGTGAGGATCACTAAAATAGTTATATTATTAAGTAGTTAAAAACAACTAAGAATTTTTTTATGGTCTATAAAGGAGATGAACTAGTAATTTATGGATATTCACAGGCTAGATTTAAATTAGATACTGATGATAGCAAATTCTAGTCTAGATATATTTTTACTCTAAATGGTGGTGATGTTATTGACCTTCAGAGTTACACATTCATAGTTTTATATTTAAACATGTTTCTTACGAAGATCACATTAATAAGCATGGATGATTTCATGAAAAATCAATCAGAAAGTCCAAAAATAAAGCAAAGTGAATACAATTAAAATTGTTGAAAATGGAATTTTGCATGAACCAAATGACCGCTTGTTCATCAATGATGAACACTTAGGAATTTTATAAGAATCGATTGATCGATTGGCTTCACCAGTATACCTAGCTGATGAGAGAGATATCAGCCTATGACAACTAATCTTCCCACAGTGGTCACCTTTGGGTGTTATCTGATCTTTGACATGTATTCCACTAGTTTACAATAATATACTTAATATGTATGTGTCTATCAAAATTATTTAACTTGTAAACTACTAATATCTAGAATGTATATTAAATGTTAGTCCCTCACTAGTTGGTTGAACTCACTCTTTATTTTTAATATTATTTAAGATTCTTAGTTTCTATTCTCATGTTGATTTTGTTGAGTGTTTTTATTTCTTCAAATTTGGTTAGTATACCTTGTTTGTTTTGCAAGGCTTCCCTTTTAGTTCGATATCGTAAATGCTCCACTATTACACTATTTTAGATAAAATTTAGATTTTGACAATATAATAAGTATTATGAATTCTTCTTTTTGTTTTAATTACTGATGAGATGTTTTGAACTATCATTTGATTTTATTGGTATGGAATAATATAATATTTTGGAAGATTATGAAATGATGCTTTTTTTTAAATAACTTGTTTTTTTATATGTATGTTATGAGGCTTAACATAAATAGGGTGTCCTTACTACACCGCTCCTGCATTGCTAGTTATAGGCCCATGATTCGGGTTATGATATGAAATCATAAATGAATATGTATCTTCAATCTATAAATTTAGATTTGTGGCTATCTTTAGAGAATGAACCTCGTAGACTTATTAAAATTGGAAATGGTATTGAAATTCCTAAGACTAGAATTGAATATATAGATAATAATAAGAATTTTTTTATTCATAAATGCTAAAGCTATAAACACTTTGTATTATGCATTAAGTATAAGTGAATTTAATAAAATAACATCATGTAAAAATGATAAAGACATATAGCATGCTTTAGAGGTAACACATTAAGGAACTAACCAAGTCAAGGAGTTCAAAATGCCTATCAATATGAATTGTTTAAAATGCTTCTCAGTGAATCCATAACTAACATGTTTATCAGAATAAAAACCATAACTAATTGTTTTGATACTCTTGTAAGGACTCGTCATAATATAGAAATTATGATCAAAATTCTTAGGTCTTTACTAAAATTTTAGGAAGCAAAGGTGATGACAATTCATAAAGCCAGAGACTCATAAGATTACCATGGAATAACAAGAACAAGAGAAAAGGCCAAAAAAGAGTTTGGCATTTAAAATCATTCACCACATTGAGGATAATGATGATGATGATTAAGAAAACATTAAGGAGGATATTGTCTTAATTACAAGGTGATTCTAACGCTTTTTAAAAAATAAACAAGGAAATAAAAGATTCTTAAATTTAAAGAAAGATGGGAATAAGAAAAAGTCTAGCAAAAAACTTTTAAGGTGTTTTAAATGCAACAAGACAATACACATCAAAGTAGATTGTCCACTTCTTCAAAACAAGATGAAAAGTTATCATCATAATAAGGTAATGACAGCTACTGGGAGTGACAGTTCTTACTCAAGTTTAAATGATGAAGAAAAGCATGTGGCAAATATATGCTTCATGGTTATCGAAAATGAAAATGAGGTACAATCTTTATATGATAAATCCAACCCTACCTATAATGAGTTACATAATTCTCTTGAATCTTTATATGATGAATTGAAAAAATTAGGTTTAAAATATAGTTTATTGAAAAAGAATTATACATGCTTATTTGTGGAAAAAAAAACTCTAGATAATAAAACTTGCATTGTTATTGATGAAAATAAAAAGTTTAATCAACTTTAAAAAGAAAATAAATCCTTAAAGGAAAAGGATGACAAGTTGAATACAACATAAAACAGTTATATTTTTCTTGATAAGATAAGGATCTCCTTACAGACAAGGACTTTTCTTAAACTATAGACAGGCTGATAATTAGAAATCATAACAAGACTTTAGATTTTATCAGATAACAAAACAAGACAACTTACCTTAAGTAGGGTGTAGTTGGGGTACTAATATCTTCCATTTACACAACCAGTTTTTGTACCTGACCTCTAAGACCAGTTAGGTTCTTAATGACCAAAATACTAGGTGGCGACTCCCATTTAAATTTTCCACTTATAAGAGAAAAGAATTCTCTGTCTCTCCATATTTGCTAGTTACACCATACATTTTACCTTGAGGGTGGACAATCACCACGACACCGCACATGTGCGACAGAATGACGACTCCACTTAGGATCTTATGGACTAAACTTTGTTTTTGTCTGATTATTGTGTTTTATTATTTGGTTTGTGTCATTATTAATATGTATGTTCTTATTTGCTCGTACGATTTAATTTTATATTTTTTTTTTCATGTAATGTATTGTTTCATGCATCATTCGTGTTTTTGTATGAGTTACATTGGAAACTTTAGGTTAAGTGGGGCACTAGTAACTTACGTTATGAGTTTTAAGTCAAGGTTTAAGTTTGTGTAAATCTCAACTCTTCGCTGAGTGCTTAAACTGGTAATTATTGATCCATATGTCATCTCATTACCTACTAAGCCCCAATATTGCCTTCACGAAGGCGATCACTTGGACAGTATATGGCCCTTTTAAAGACTGAATAACCAACCTACCCTTGTCAAGCATAAAAATTAGAACTTGCCTTTAAGGTAAATACTCCATATACTTTGTTTTGCATCATAGCAAGCCTTTCCTGAAACATCTTGAAATTAAGACTTGCGGGTGACATAATGGTCGTCATTCGAGAAATTTCAATTGTAGAGTTTGGGCAAGAATCAATATTCTTGTTTCATCATACAAGAGTTACGATCATATGTCACCCCTCGAAAGGTGAGTTCATCATATAAAACATACTCATATGTTGAAGCATGCATGCTTCCAATTTGGAATAAAGGTCCCCTAATTCAGTTTTTCTCCAAAATTAAAAGTTGTCAACATCTGACAATGGCAAGGAAGATTCGCTCCGGCCTCAATTTAGAGATAGCTTATGGTAATAAGATTCTCTACTTTAAATGGACTCAGCTAATGACCTGTGCCGAGATGCCATCTATGAAGTGCTGACACGCTCATCAATGGAGACTGTGGGGAAATGCAGGCTTCTTTCTAAAGTGTATTACAAGTTGACCAACGAATCCCTTTTCACAAAGCTACATAGCCAAAGAACCAACATTGTCTCTGGTTTCCTTATTCGAAGCATGATCAGGAACGAATATTAGATTTCTTTTATTTAACTGATGCTTTAAAGACCCATGCACAAATATCCTTTGATTTTCTTCTAGAACATGTGGAGATTGTGTCATCAACAAATCAAGGAATTCTACTTTATCGCGCACATAATGAATCATGTTATTATGTGTACGATACTTCTATCCAACAATGTCAAAAGATCTAGAATCCCAAGACATGATATGATACAATAGAATTTAGCCAAATATTATGTTTATTTTGGCAAAAAATTTTGATTGAACTCCAATATATAAAATCAAGGTTAATCAATACTGAATGATTAAAAGTGTTTTGATTCCAGAAATGACTTGATGTTTGCTAAAATGGCAAGAGGTGACCGAATAAATCTTGAGCTCACACCCCAAAATTGAACCACACATAATGTAGTTAAGTTTTAGCAACATGCATAATGGCACGCAATGGATTCAATAGT